GAGCTCTCCAGAGAGACAGAGAGACAAGTGAGAAATCATCTCCCAGGGAGATGACCACACTGCAATCCCTTCTCCTCCATTCTCCTCTCAGGATCTTAGGCACGCACACACATGTGCCCGGTGTGAGTTTAAGCCACCAGATCTGGGACTCAAACCGTGGTTGACTACGTGGGAGTCCAGTGACTGGTCTCCAGCAACATGTGTTAAAAAGGGAAATCACAGACCTAAGAAAGTCGAGAAACATCACATCACACAAAGCTGAGGTACAAGCCCTCATTTCAAGACCTTTGGTACTGCTTTAGTTGGGAATAAAAAACATTAATTAAAGGGACCAGCAGATGGCATAATGGTTACATTACTGGACTTTCACATGCCTGACTGTAGTTTGAGTCCTGGGGGCTTGAAATTCACGGTGGGCACATGAGCATGCATGCCCAAAATGCTGAGAGAAGAATGGAAGTGAAGGGATTGGGGTGTGGCCTTCCCCCTGGGGTGAGGGGGGTGGGGGGGGATTTCTTACTTTCTATCTCTCTGTCTCTCCAGTGAGCATAGCTTCCTATGGGAAAAATCTCTCTTAAATAAAAAATATTAATTAAAATGAGAATTCACAAAAAAATACATTCCTTGAGTATTATATTGTTTAAATTATGACATCCGGATATCAATCATTCACTAATCTTTTAATATAAAGGCAAGATCTTTTGAATATAGTTTTGTGATTGGAATTTGAGTTCATCTTTCTTTCATAAACCACACCTGTCATGTGCCATTGGCAATTTCCAGTTTGTGTTTCTTTAAAGTGATCTGTGCAGCCACTCCTTACTTAACAACCTGTTTCACAACCTCTTGGTATGGAGAATCTGCTTTCTCAGTTTGCCTCAGTCTCAGGGATCCACCTTGTCTCGTTCCTGCAGTCTCTTGGTATTCACTAGACAAAGGATTCACAGTTATACAAGACTATGTATTTTGTTTATAAATTTGTACTTGATCGTGCATCCATGGTAGTACTCAGCATAAGTAAAAATGATCACACCAGATTGACATTATTGTGTTGTGGCGTGTCTTACTGCTTTCTGGTGCTTATCTAACGTGTGCTTTCTGTATGGATAGAATTACATTATTCTAGTGTGGCATCATATGATATCTGTTGAAGGACACATCCCTATGGCACCACAACACAAGGCCATCTGCATTTTGTGAAAATTTACATTTAATCACTGTACGTCTTTATAGTGTACATCATGATTTTTCCCATCATGGATGTAGTACATATTAATCAAGTCAAAGACGTTACCATATAAATTATCATCAACAGATAACTTTTCATTCCCATGTCTATTAAATGTTTTGTTTGTTTTTTTCCTGATTTCCTCACACCTACCCACTAGTACCATTACCTATTACCCACCTCCTCCTGTACTGACTCTAATGTCTATAGTTACCCTCCCTGTTATTATATCTTCCAATCTTTCCTTTTTTGCTAGAGTGCAAATGTTGGGTATCTGTTAAGTGGGGACATATAATGCCTGTCTTTCATAGTCTGGCTTGCTTCACTTAGCATTAAATCTTCCATATCTGTCCCTGACATTTGATACAAATATGGAAACCATCCACGTTTAAACTTCTTTCTTATTGACCTCCTCACTTACTGAATTAGGAGAAAATTGAATATAAAGAAATTTACAAATGACTCTATTCACTTAATGATGCAGTTGTGAGATCAGAACTTGGTTATTAAGTGAGGAGTGCTTCTATCATCTTTTCTCCCTCTCCTTCTGGGAATTCCGTTTTTTAAGTAACTTTCTATTTTGAGTCTTTCTAAAATGTATAATTTAAACTTCCTAGAACCAACAGCTCTTTCTTTTTACATTCACATTTCTTTGGTCTTCTCATTGCAACTTTATGCATTATTATTATTATCTCCATTTAATAGACGAGAACACTTAAATTTCTAAAAGATTGTCATATTTCATTTTGTTCACATTGAAGTCTAATAATTCAATTTAATCCAGAGAGTCATTATCTGTGATGATAGACGTATTGAGAACTTGAACACAACAACATTGAAATAAAGTGTAGTACATTTCCAATATGTTATTACAGCACAAAGTATTAGGAATTTTTCCTATTTCCTTCCTTCCTTCCTTTTTTCCTTCCTTCCTTTTCTCTTCTTTCGTAGAGACAGTCTCACGGTATTGTCCTAGCTGACCTCAAACTCAAAATGCTCCTGCCTCTGCATCCTGAGTAGCTGGGATTACATACACACCGCCGTGGCTGGCTAGATTTCTAGAAAGCATGAAATAATTTGACTATGGCCATTTTTTTTAAGTTTAGCTCTAGAAATAATATTTATAAAGAAGATATCATTGTTAGTTTATTTGACTTTGCATAAAACCTCTTAAAACAGATTTCAGAGCCACTAATGATCAAGGCCTGCATCTTAATTTAGACAAAAATCAGTTAACTAGTTCTGTGACTTTAGTCCTTAGTATCCGATTATATATATATGAAGGAAGTTCAATTTTTAAAAATTTCCAGGTTTTTCCGATCTCTAATTTTTCTTTGTTTATAAAATGTAAAGCCTTGTGACTGAAGTGTGTGGGTAACAAACTTGCCTTTTATGAAACACTTGCACAGAGTTTCTATCTGATTTCCCCAGTTGTAAAGGGATTTTTTGTTTATTTATTTATTTAACTTAAAAAATAATTGTTTATTTCATTTATTTATTATTATTTAATTTGACCAGGGTTGGGGAAGAGAGAGAGACAGGAGGGAAGGTGAGAAAACAAGTCATCAGGTCCAGGACTCAAACTGTGGTCGGTTACATGGGAGCTCAGTGCCTCAACCACCATGCTACCTGCCAGCCCCTTGTTGTTGTTTGTTTGTTTGTTTATTTATTTACTTATTGCACATTCAACCACTGTATATCATTACAACTTGTAAAAGGTATTATTTGGTTTTATAAATGCTAGAAGTCTATGCTCTCATAAAGACAACCCCTCTGGTCATGCCAGTTTTTTTTTCCCTCCAAGTCTCCATTCTCTCGGATGCTGGACACACACATATGCACATGCCTGGTGTGTTTTTCAAGCTGTTGGGTCAGGACTTGTACCCTGGTTAGCCATATGGGATGGCCAGCTTTCTCTGTGTAGTACCTAACTGCTGTACTACGAGTCCAACTTAATCTCCCAGGCTTGTTTGTTTGTTTGTTTCCTTTAGTTTTTCCTATAGGCATGTGCACTGGCAAGAGAGAGAGAAATCATTGGCAGGATGATGCCACTATCCCTTCTCCTCCATTCTCCTCTCAGAATTTTGGCTGTGCGTGCGCTTGCGTGCATGAGAGCACGCGCACACACACACACACACATGCCTGGCATGTTTTTCAAGCTACTGTGTCCAGGACTCAAATTGCGTGGTAGCCCATGTGGGATCCAGCCACTTTAACCTCCATGCCACCTGTTGACCTCAGATCTCCTGTTTTTTAATGACTGAGTTGAAAATTGAATATAAAGAAAGAAGTTTGCAAATGGCTCCACTATTATAAAACATTCAGGAAACATTTTAAAATTAATCAGCCAAACTAAATAAAAGTAGGATAAAAATTTTGTCTTAGTGATCTGGAAAATAACTTAGATCTGTGTACTGTCATTCTGCTACATACCAAAGTTACTGTAAAGTTACTGGCCCAACATTTATGAACTAGTGACTAAAGAGAATCAGAATCAGATTATTGGCTCAACCTATCTTAACAACTGACTAAAGAGAATCAAAGAATCCTGGAGTGCTTGAATAAATATTACTAGAAAAGACCTCGTTTCTGTTTACTGGTCCACCTACCAGGAAGGTTCATTCTGGCCCACAAAAGCAACTCCTTTTTCTCTCTGCCAGTTCATTTTAATTTACCATAAGATCACGCATCGCTCTAATCACACCCCCTGCCTTCTTAAGGACTTTTAGTGACTCCCTGTTGCCTAGAGAATTAGGTCCAGGGTACTTACCCTGGTTTTCAGGAGCTCTGAGGTCTGGCCCCTGCCTGTCTTGCCAGCCTCGTTTCCTATTACTCTCTTTGATGTGCCTTCCACTCCAGGCTGTGTGAACTGCTTGCTGTCCCAGGATATTTCCTCTTTACCTCGTTCATGTGGTCCTGCTGTGTGTATTGCCCTTTCCCTCATTATCCCGGCTTTTCACTCTCCATCGTTCCAGACCCAACTCAAATAGTACGTTCCTTACAAAGCCTTCCTTGATCTCCCCAGCCAGAATTTCTCCCTCTGGTGTGTAACAGGCCTTTATCCGTGACCCTTATCACTTTTTCCGTTCCTGATACAGGTTTTTAAGTATAGACTTCTAGGCCAGAAATTTCTTTAAAGTTAGTCTTAGTCAAATGCATTCTCGCGTGCTAAGAAACTAGCTCATGACATGGCCTGTCCTTAAAAGTCTTGAGTTAAATGTGAACGTGTGACTGCTGTACACTGGCCAGTTCTCGCTCACCCCACCAAATGTTTCTTTACCTACTGTGTGCAACTCTTTTCAGTACAAAGGTTGAGATGTAGAGAGATCCCTAAGTAGGGGCTGGCAGGTAGAGTGGGTGGTTAAGGCACTGGACTGCCACATGGCTGATAGCAGTTGAGTCCCAGACCTGGTAGCTTGCTTTCTCACTTTTTCCCTTTCTCTCTCTCTCTCTTTTCAAATTAAAAAATAAATAATAATAACAAATAAAATTAAATAATTTTTAAAAAGAGATCAGTAAATATAACACAGATGAATAAAAGAAGTATAATGGTATCTGTTTCCAAAAATGTTCAGTGAAATCACCACCTTTTGAAAACTATAAAGCAATGAACTCCAGTAAAATGGTCTTAGTAGTGGATGAACAAGAACAGCTGGGACCCATATTTCAGGAATTAAGTAAGTTTTGAGCGAGGGACTGAGATAGTCTTGAAATGCCTGTTTTTAGAGCTTTGCTATGAATAATGTGCTATAAATTCTGCTTCCCTGTACAGGTGGATGATTGTGGCTTTTCTTTGAATCATCCCAATCAGTTCTTTTTCGAGAGCCAACGGATTCTAAATGGTGGTAAAGACATCAAGAAGGAGTCCATCCAACCAGAAACTCCTCAACCCAAACCAAGTGCCCAGAAAGCCAAAGATGCATCATCTGCTCTGGCCTCGTTAAATGCCTCTCTGGAGATGGATTTGGAGGGACTAGAAGATCACTTCAGTGACTGATTCTTGGGTAGTTCAGTGACCCTTTTTCCTCACTAGTCTTCATTTCCTATTTTTAAGTTTTTGCCTTTTTATTTTTTAACCTTTTTGTTAAACTTCTCTCTTCAGCCCACCTCAGTCTCTTCATATACATACACACTTACTAGGAAAACAGGCTTGCAGGTTAAAAAAAAAAAAAAAAAAAAAAGACCTTCACTATATTTTGCTTTAGCAAACGGGAAGAGGAAGAGTTTCAGTTGAAGTCTGAAAAATGAGAGTTTCAGTTGTAATCCATCAGCTGAATGTCCTGATTTAAGTTTCGTGTTAGAATAAAATCAGCTTTTTTGTTGGTTAAAGTCCTCTTGAAACAATACAGCTAAAGCCAACTTTTATTTCAACTTCTGTCACTTTGGTATTTTGACCCAGCCCTTCTCTGGACCATTTTTGTTAATAAATATCAAGATGTATCTGACTGTTTCTTTGTGTAATTTGGAGAGTCTTATGTCTTAACAGAGTACACATTACCTGTTTTTAAAGTGATATTTTGGAATATCCATCACATTGCTAATCACCAGAGGAGATTTCAAACTCTTTCTTTTTTTTAGTTGGCCTATTTGTGGTTATTCTGTATCAGTAAGGAGAACTTTGGTACCTTGGACTGGCAGTACACCCTCCTGAAATGAGTTGTGACATGTGAATTAAGGGAAACAGAATTGGTATAGCTAGTTGTATTTATTAAGGAATAGAAGTGTTTTATTATATAGAATGATGACACCCCTCATCTCCTGTCAATTCCATTCATTCTGGGAACAGGCTCACAAAAAATAGACAATTAGTAAAGCAAGAATGTCACAAGTCTCAAGCGATTATTCTACCCTCCAACTTCTATACCTTATTATTTCTGGGGTGCCTTGAGTTATCAAATTGGTTTGGTAAGTTCATTAGCTTTAGTAATGACTATTCTGATATTGATAATAATTCCTTCCTTTCAGTGTCAGCAGTGGAGTTTGGTAAATGTTATGGATCACTACGGACATACCAGGTCAACATCATACCTTCTTTGCCCACTTTGGGCAAGGAGGGAAGATGCAAGTGGATAATACTGTGTGCATCCTGTGGGTGCTCTTTCCTCCCTAGGGTCTTTGTTTACTCATCCAGAGGATTTGAGGTTCTTAAAAGATCTGGTTTATGGGACCAGCAGGGGGTGTGGTGGTTAAAGATGCTGGACTCCCACATACGGCCAACCATGGTTCAAGTCCCTGACCTGGTGTCTTGCTTTCTTACTTTCCTTCTCTTGCTTGTTCGCTTTCTCTCTCTCTCTCTCTCTCTCTGGTCAAATTAAAAGATGAAAGAAAGAAAGAAGGGAGGGAAGGAGAGACGGAGGGAAGAAAGGAGGGGGAGAGGGAGTGAGGAAAGGAAGGTAGGAAGTTAAATAATTCTTAAAAAAAAGAAAAAGATCTGGTTTAAAATGTGCCTCTTCTTGCCTATTGACTTGAATTATGTGAAATACTAGTCTATTTCAGTCCTCTTTTCTTAGCAATAAAAGGTACTTTTCCTTTATTCTCTTGAATCACTATATTAACTATATTAAAAAGAAAACATTGTGGGACTAGCAGATGACATAATAGTTATGTCACTAGATTCCCATGTAGTCGACCATGGTTCGAGTCCCAGACCTGGTGTCTTAAAACTCACACCAGACCTGTGTGTGTGCGTGCATGCCCAAGATCCCGAGAGAATGGTGGAGAAGGGTCTGCAGCTTGGCCCTCCCCCCCCAGGGGGTGATTTCTCACTTTCTGTCTCTCTGGCAAGTGCATGTGCCCTATACCAAAAAAATCTTTCTCACTAAAAAGAAAGAGAGAGAGAGAACATTGTATTCAGAAACCTGGACTATAGAAAACCACAGTTTTAATCCTGTGATAAACTGCATCAGTATGGAAAAGGCTTAAACCGTTTCAGATCCTCGGAACCTGAAAGGGTCAGCTGATTAGGTTTCAGAGTCAAAGATTTCCTGGACTATTTAGTAACATATAATTAAATGAGCTACTATCTGAACTTTTATTTGTCTTTGTGAGTTATTATTACTTTGTTCAGAACGTAGCATCAGTCAACTACAAATTACCCCTATAAATCTTTTCCTTCTGAAACCATCTGCTATTTCTTTCATCATTTATGGTTCTCAGTAGGGATCTGAGGATTGCCTGCCACTTGATCCATGAACTGCAAAACCCTAGTCCTTTTTTGTTTGTTTTAATATCAAGAGCAAGTGCTACGTGGAGCTGTGTTAACCACAGAATTAAGTTAGCTGTGGAAAGCCAAGCATAGAAATGTAGGTCTCTGTTGTACTAAAAGAAGAGAACTATTAGAAGGAATCTCACTGCTGGAGTTCAGTGCAAAATCTTATGACAGGATATTCATATCTGGCAACATTTTGCAAGGTTGTCTTTTCTCCTGCCTCATGTTCTCCTTTTATGAAGCCTGTGCTCCCACCAGCTAAAGAACGGAGCCATTAACAGTGCAGTAGATGTGTCTTAGTGGGCTGTTTATGTTATACTTGCTGCCCAAGAATTTGCATCATCCTACTTGAATGTTTTATGTGTGTCTATTCAAACTCCAAAATAATGCTCGTTTAAATATTAGTTGTATAACAAGTTCAATTCCTTTGCAATAAGCTTTGATCCCTTGTCATGTGTTATACAGAAGAATACATAAACATTTTGTGAAGTCTATAGATTAGAGGATGAAGGTTAGAGGTTTATATAAAAAGATAGAAATTAATGTTTTTCTGGTGCTTCTTCGAGTTGGAAAAAGCAATTTATTTTTCATGCTTCACAGGTCTTGACAATTTTGATTTGTTTTCTTTAAAGCAGAACTGTTTGAGTCAGATGATGTAGGAAGAACCCAAAAGAAAAATCAAAAGCCAACAGTCTGTTTTTAAAACAGTAGCCAATGAAAAGGAATATGAGTTTTCCAGATCTTTTAACTTCTAGTCTTTTATGACGTCTTCAAGGAAGAGAGAATGTGTGAGTATCAAAGACAGAAGAAGAAATAGCAGAGGAGAGACACTAGGTTGGAAATTTGTAGCTGGTCGAATGACATGGTAGTAGAGATTCTTTCACGTTTTTTCTCTCTGTTTTTCACTCTCCCCATACAATATAGAAATCCTAACTGCCATGTGCATAAAAGAACATTAGGAAGATTTTAAGTAAACTTTTTAGGACGGCTTATAAAATTATAGAGTCATAAAAGTGTATAGTTATAGATTTTGAATGAGTAGGGAGTAGAATAAAGCAATAGAAAAGATCTTTAATTCATATAGAATTTTAATAAGCTGAGGGATTTATTTTCTGTCTAAGCTCATGCAGGGTGTTGTGCTTGTTACACTTTGCTGTCTTACTGATACTCAGGGTCTTTGCAAGCAAACTTCTGTAATTCTTTGCAAAGAAGAAAAGAAAACTTCTGGGATTTAAGCTTGAAAGGCGAAATGAGACAACTCTAAGGTTCTGGTTCAGTTAGAGCCTACTGTTTGCAAATTTAATCAAGGTCTTCCACAGGCATCAGCTTGACATTAAATTTAAGTGCCCATTAAAGTGAGAGTTTGACAGCAGTTCTGGGTGTGACGCTCGGTCTGAGGACATCTTTACAGCTGGAAGGGGAAGAAAAGTTGAGAAGCCTCAAACCACTGTGGTAATTAGATCCATTTGTTAACTTCTTTTCTAATGTTGGCAAAGGGAGGGAGAGAAAAAGTTGACAGAGAGGCTACAATCAGAAAGGCAGTCCAGTGCTCCCTATAGAAATTACTCAAGCACAGAGTTCTGTTTTTCAGAGAACAATGGTAAATATACCCTGTGACACGTGAGTAAGTTGGAGAAATGACTTCAAGAATATTTGTCTTCAGACCCAATGCACAATGCTCTGTGATGTTCAAGCCACAGGGAAAGGTGCCCAGTGTCTCAATGGCTACCTGTACACTCTGGGCACGTCTGCTCATGCCAGTGATCCTGGCTGGCTAAAGCACAGGGTGATTGTAATATGATGAACCTGTTAGGGGTGACTGTCTTTCTGTCTTTCTCCCTGAAGAAATAAGTAAAATGTAAATAAATTATTTCATTTATTCAATTTTTTGAGAGGTTTTGGTGCACGTGGACTCTCCAGAAAGAGAGACAGAGAGACAGAAAGCGAGAAATATCTCCCGTGGGGTATGACCACGCCACAATTCCTTCTCTTTCACTCCCCTCTTGGAATCTTGGGCACTCACGCACACATGCCCAGTGTGAGTTTAAGCCACTGGGTCCGGGACTCAAACTACATGGGAGTCCAACGACATAGCCATTATGCCAACAGCTGGTCCCAATAATTTTTTTTTGTTTGTTTTGGAGAGGTTTTTCGCTATAGGGCGCGTGCGCTTGCCAGACAGACAGAGACGGAGAGACAGAAAGCGAGAAATCACCCCCCAGGGGGGATGGTCACACCGCAGTCCCTTCTCCTCCATTCTCCTCTTGGGATCTTGGGCACGCACGCACACGCGCCCAGCATGAGTTTTAAGCCACCAGGTCCGGGACGCGAACTGCGGTCGACTACGTGGGAGTCCAGCGACATAGCCATTACGCCAACTGCTGGTTCCCCCAATAAATTATTTTTAAAAATATCTTATTTAGTTTGTTTTCCTTTCAACACTCAGAACCATGGTGTGTGGAAGTTGCATTTTGAATAGGTATGCTACAACAGTTCCTTTGGAGGACATAGAACATTGTTTGGGAGTGGACTTCTGATGGTAAGCTGTTAGCCTGAGTTAAGTTTTTCTCACAAGGGTATCTAACTTATCTTCAGGTAATTACTTATCTGCCCAAAGCACTGGGCTCTGTTTTCAGTGTTGAGTTCCTTTGGACAGGGCACTATTGCCCTAGTCTAAGGCATCTCACCATTATTGCATTGGAGGCAATTAGCTTTGTGACTTTATGGAAATCATGTCACCTATAGGAAATTGTCTTTCCACTTAATCTGACTGTCCTGCCAAAAATGATGCTATTTCCTGCTATTGGGTTTGTTTTCTATCCTGTAAGGTCTTTTTGTCCATTGCTTCATGACATTTTATTTTCTCCAAGAATCACCACCACAGAATCTTATCAAAGACAATAAAAGACTAAAGAATGCATCTCTATGTAAAGCTCTTGTATTTCCCTTGAGCTTTCAATTGCAGTACTGTTTTCAAGCATTGATGACAAGGTAGTGGAACAACATCGCTAATAAATGCATGATGGATTTTTCAGTTCAGCCTTGCATTCCTAGGCACGCATTCACCATAGCAGAGCTATGAGGTTCTTCAAGGTTTTGTTTTGTTTTGCACTGGAAACATACATGGAAAATAAATTCAAAACTCTTGTATTCATTTTAAGACTCTTTTTAATGAGGAAACTAACCATCTAATGCAAATTTTCCTGATCCCCTAACACATCAGT